GAATCAGAATGAATGAGAGAAACACCTTTTATTTGTTTTGTTTTGCTTGTAAAGCAAAAGAAGAGTGATTGTGAAAATGGAAATGGAGAGGAGAAACAGAGGGATGACTCGCCTGCAGACATGTTCCTGAGGCAGGTCATCTGGAGGAAAAATTCTGGGTGTTGTGGATCTGGAAATGGACTCATTTAAACTCTCAATGTGCATGACACACCTTCTTGCACATCCAAGGACACATGTACCTCAGTTGGAAATTTGGTGGTTTGGAGAAATTTCCTGGTTCAACAAAAGTTGGGAAGTGGGGAGGTTTCAAGACCTGGAATTGGAATCTAGACTACAGGGAGCTGGGAAAGAGTAGAAGGAGAGGAAGCTGGGAGCAGACAATTGCAAAACCCTCTCGGTGCTCTTAGGCCATACTAAGAATGTTGGTCTTTGTCCTAAATCAGTAGGAATCCCTTGAAGTAAATAAAGGTAGGACAAGATCAGACTGACATCTTAAAACACAGTAAAATATGGACTTAATTAGGAAGTATAGGTAGAGGGGAATAATTAAGAAGTTTTTTATCACGGGAATCAGTCCAGGGAAGAATAGTGGAAGTGGTAATGGAGAGAATCAGACAGGCTTAACAGATATTTAGGGAATATAATTGATAGAAATGGATGAATTATTGGATATTGGAAAGATGAAGATGAAGATGTCCAAAAATGATTTCTGGGTTTCTAGTTTGCAGGTCTAGAGAATTTTTCATTATTATTATTATTTTTTTTTCTGAAAAACCTGTAATTGATATAATGGGAAATAAAAAATAAATTTTTTAAAAGAATGAACAAAAATCTTCAAAAATAATATCTGTAATTTAATATCATGTTTACAATATAATCACAGATAAGATAATAACATAATTTTTAAATGAGAAGACTGATATTTGATAACCTGCAAAATATATTTTCAAGAAGCAGGTGTTACACTCTAAGTATCTTGCTTTTAAAATATAACATTGGCAGTCAGTGTGGTGGCTCACATCTGTAATCCCAGCACTTTGGGAGGCTGAGAGGGGGTGGATCACTTGAGGTCAGGAGTTCCAGACCAGCCTGGCCAACATGATGAAACCCTGTCTCTACTAAAATACAAACATTAGCTGGGTGTGGTGGCACATACCTGTAATCCCAGCTACTCGGGAGGCTGAGTTTGCAGTGAGCCGAGATTGAACCACTGCACTCCAGCCTGGGTGACAGAGTGAGACTCCATCTCAAAAAATTTTAAATCTAAAATTTAAAAATCAAAAGAAAGATAACAGTGGCTATATCTTGAATGGCACCAATGCCATTACCCTTCCACTACAACCCTTAAAGCAAGACCATTTCTTCAGTGAATAATAGGCCTCCCAGCTTAAAAAATCAGCTCTGAATGCATAGAGAAAGTAACCAAATTCAACATTGCGGTTTTTTTTTTTGACCTATGCATCTTTCACTGAAAATAATATGAAACTGAAAATAATATGTATTATCAAATTCTCTACTTTCTTGCATAGTTCATCTGATCCAAAGAATCAAATACCACATTGCTGAAAACACACCATCAATTCTCATGTGGTTATTTTGCAAATCACTTTCTTTTTCTCTACTTTTATGTAACACATAAAATTTTCATACAGTTGAAATGAACTGTGCAGAGGAAAAGGTAAATGCCAGCAGGCATCTAAATATTGTAGCATCTGTTATATTTTACACTCTGTAATCACAAATTTTATAAAGCTTCATTGCATTTGAGGCTGGATTCTTCACAAATTATTGAAGATTGATAGCTGTAGTAATTGTCGTTACACTTATATTTTATTATATCAAATTGTGTAATTCAATATAATAATTACTTCTACCTTTTTGTGGTAATATTTTTCTAGATAACAATTCATGATGTCTACTTTATATTTTCTTGTAAATGTGTAAAATTTATATGATGCAAAATTAGCATCTTCCAATTAGGTATCCCAAATTTGGAGGGTGTGTGTCTGTGTGTGCACATGTGCTAGTATATGTGTGCCTAGATTTGAACATGTGTGTGCATGAGTACATGTGTGTAGCATTGCTAATTATGAAAAAGCCTTTTCTAGATAATTTAAAACAATAGTCTTTATTTTAAGTTTTAGACCTCTAAGTTAACATGATCTTTTTCTCTCTTTTTAAACTCTTACTAGAGTTCATCTCATCTGCCTACTTTCAAGGCTAACAGTTATTAAGCATCTACTGTGCACTTGGTACTATTCTAGTATTGTTATGGAAGTAAACCCTTGTAAAACCTCATTTAATTCACAAAAGACCCATATGTGATAGGTAAAATTAACTTCATTTTAGAGACAAGCAGAAGTCTCAGAGAAAGCTACTAACTTTGCCCAATGCTACTTAATCAGGTCTCTAACATTGGTCTAGCTCAGGGCAACTGCATATAGTCGCCAATGTTGTGTACTGCACAACTCCAGGAATGCCACTCACAGAGCCTATTATACAAACGGCACCGCTTGGAGTTTTCCAGTGCTACAACCCTATATCTCTCTTGAAAATCTAATATTTTTTTACTGCACTGTTTTGCCACCTCACTAACTCATTCATATGAAAGTGGCAGGAGTAGAATATAGTTGGGTAAAGAAAATAAGAAGAGTCAAGTTTCACATTGCAATTCTTGAAAACACCACGAATGTTTCTCCATAATTATTTTACATTATTCAATCCTTAAAGGAACAACTCTCTCATATTTCCATTCGTATACAAAAAAGTCATTTATCTTCATGTGTAAATAACCTAAGTACAAGCTAAACTATCATTATGGACTGCCTTCATATACTATGTACTGTGGAATTTTTTATTATGACAGCATGAACAAACTAACCTGAAATGATCTTTTGTCACTCAGAATGAGTCATGTATTGATATGCAGGATGGGACCCATTTGAGCAGGAAGTATGCCTAAGCATTTTAATCTACTTTTAAACTTCTACCTTAATTCAAAATTGTACATCTCTAAATGATTATACTGTACATAGAGTACAGTTTCCAAAGAAAAGACATGTTAAAATAGTGAACATCTGCAGAGACATGGTTAAATGAGCAAAGACAATTTGAAAGCATTTGCTGTCCTAATTCCTAGCAAGTTGACAGACAATGCCCCAAAACTCTCTATCAGATCCAGAATAAACTAATAAGCTAATCAGAGCATAACAAGTCTTTGCTAAGTGATTTCATAAGATAACTATACGTATGTTTAAGCAGCACTCTTGGGTATTTCTCACTAAATTTGCAAACTCATTCTGAGAAATATTGTTAAATATTGGTAAATCCATGGAGTATACTATTCTCACTAGTGATTAGGGCTCTAGGGTACAGAATAAAATGAAGAGGTATATAATTTCCCCCTGCAAACTCACAAATAATGAAGTTCTTTCTAAGTGTCTGCTCAAAGTTTCTGATCTTTAAGCTGTAGCATTGAGGTTCCATTTACCTAGTTATTAATGAGGACTCTTTAGGGACTTATGACCATGAACAATTTGGTCATAGCTCTCTTAAAATGTTAAAAGTTCTTTTCTTAGGAAAAATCCTTTAGTTCAAGAATTTGTTGAATAGCACATTTATGAGGCAAATCCAGAAAACTCTGTAGGAATACTGCAATTTGCTAACCAAAGTTATTATGTCATGCCTAAGGGAGCTTGTAATTCATGAAGCTGTCAGGATTCATAGCAATCAGTAAACAGAAAAGTATTCTCATAAATAAATACTAATAATTAAGAAATATAAAAAGTGGGTTTCAAAATATCTAGTGACGGTACAAGCATTTGAGTTACTTTCATCTCCTTTGAGTGTTTTTTTTTTCTCTTAGAGAATTATAACCTGTATCAATATCATGCCCAAATATAAGAAAACCTGCTAAATCAAATTAACAATAGCAGATAAAGTCTATTTCTGTATAGACAAAATAAGAATCACAGTAGAACAATTCTAAATAAATGACGGCTCTCTGTGTTCTCTAAATTAATAAAACAAAAATTCAAAAAAAAATTTAGAAAAATCTATCAAGATATTCCTCTCCCCCTCCTCCTCTTCCTTTTTCTTCTTTCATTTTAGTTTTAAATTCAAGTTATAATCCAAGAAGAAATACATATTAGTCCATTTTCATGCTGCTGATAAAGGCATACCTTAGACTGGGCAATGTACAAAAGAAAGACGTTTATTTGGACTTACAGCTCCACATGGCTGGGAGGCCTCACAATCATGGTGGAAAGTCACATCTATGTGGATGGCAGCAGGCTAAGAGAGAGCTTGTGTGGGAAGACTCCACTTTATAATATCCATCAGATCTCCTGAGATTTACTCACTGTCATGAGAACAGCATGGGAAAGACTTGCCCCCATGATTCAAGTACCTCCCACCAGGTCCCTCCCACAACACGTGGGAATTTAAGATGAGATTTGCGTGCGGACACAACCAAGACGTGTCAAAATATAAACCTTTTTTCCCTCTACAATTATATACAACTTAATTTCATAGCTTTTTTACATTTTAATTATTCAAAACTTAGAATGGTAAAAAGGTATTAAGACTTTTTTGCTATTAATAAATTAGTAAATATTATAGTTTTCAAACTTTTTCTTTTTTGAGAAGGAGTCTCACTGTGTCCCCCAGGCTGGAGTGCAGTAGTGCAATCTCAGCTCACTGCAAGCTCCACCTCCCGGTTTCAGGCCATTCTCCTGTCTCAGCCTCCTGAGTAGCTGGGACCACAGGCACCCACCACCACGCCCCGCTAATTTTTTTTTTTTGTATTTTTAGTAGAGATGGGGTTTCACCGTGTTAGCCAGGATGGTCTTGATCTCCTGACCTCGTGATCCCCCATCTCTGCCTCCCAAAGTGCTGGGATTACAGGCGTGAGCCACCATACCTGACCCAAACTTTTTCTTTATGTTTATTCTTCCTTATTTAAGGAAAGAGGAAAAAAATAGATCATATCATGTGAGAAATTGAAAAAAAAAAAAAAAACAAAAACCTAAACCTCTCCCTAAACATGAAAGTTTTCTTCAAAAGATAGAAAACTCTCTTAGAAGTATATTTAAGCAGTCACAATCAGAGTTGTGTCCACTTCTACCCACTGGTACTTTATACAATACATCTTCTTGAATTCTCTAAAATGATTCTAATTTTATTATTTCTCAGTGTTCTACTTTTGAATCATCAGAGAGCATTTTCATCTAAACTATTTCATGACTGCAAATATTTAGAGAGTAAATTCATTTCCAGTCCATGGATATCAGTTTTCATGCTGAAAATCATCCAAAGCATGTCCAAGTTAATTTATTTTCCTGTTTTTGACACAAGGTGCCCATCTCTATGAGGAAAGTTGGCTAATGACCAATTTACAGAGTTTATGCTGTGAACAGCCCATACTGCCTTTATATTTTGCCTTTTTCCAAAGGATGGAAGAATCTAAAAAAATAACCCATCATAGAGACAAGTACATTTTATAGAAGAGAGATATACCTCACTGGCATTAAAAATCATGTCTAAAACCTGTAACTTTGTTCCATCTGGTGAAACAACTTTACATTCTTCTCCACAGGCCAGTGATCACTTTGCTGCAAGCTCAGGAAGGATGTTTCTCACGAATGTGATAAACTTCCTCTTCACTATTGACTCTTCTCTCTCTCCCTTATCTGAAAAGACAGAGAGGCTTCCTTAACCTATACATACACATAAAGGAACATGCACATATGGTTTAAAGGGAGAACTAGGCAATTTGGATGCCCCTGAAATACAGACCAATTCAGCATGTCCAATATTCATTCCAAAAATGTCATATTCTCATTATTGCACCAACTTCCCTTTCCAAAAGGCTTTTACTGTTATTAGCGTTACCATCTTATCAAACAGAGAGTGAGCACCACAGGGAGGAGGTAGCATGTTTACTGTGTTCACCACTGGAATCCCAGCACTCAGCACAGAACACTGTTGCCTTACACACAGATGATCTTCAACAAAGTATTGAATGGCAGACCAATTTTCTTAGTCACTCAGACTTAAAACCTTCTCAACATAGAAGTTATGGTTAGATAGCAAGACCATTGACCCTACCATCAAAAAGCGTGGTTTCGATTTTAGAGTTTAACATTATATAAATGCTTGACTTCAAGCAAACTGCTTACCCTCAATAGAGCTGAAAATTTGGGGCATGGGAGAATGGAGGCAGTCAAGCAACTAAATAGTTCATTAAGAGAATTAATTCATTGAAATATTCAAAAATATTCACTGACTCTAAGATTTATTCTCTTCCTAAATGCTCCACATATAGGCAATAGGTCAATATAGTTTACCTTCAAAATGTTATTTGTATCTATCTGTTTTTCCCTCTTCCCGTTGCTAATCTCCTGAGAGCTGGCTTGTACCACCTCAGGTGTCAATTAACAAATTTTCCGTAGCACAGCAGAACAATTTTCCTTAAGCTTCTTTAGGCATGATGATTTTACAATGCTAGCATGCACAAGAACCTGGGATGCTTGTTATAAAGACCCATTCCCAAGACACATCTCCACAGACTTTGATGTGGCATGCCCAGGATTCTCCAGCTGCAGTAGGTGGTCTGCAGAGGACATCCTGATAAACTTTTTTTTTGTTTTTTTTAAGAGATGGAGTCTCTCTCTGTCACCCAGGCCAGAGTGCAGTGGCGTGATCTTGGCTCACTGCAACCTCCACCTCCTGGGTTTCAAGCGATTTTTTTCTGCCTCAGTCTCATGAGTATCTGGAATTAGAGGTGTGCACCACCATGTCTGGCTAATTTTTGTATTCGTAGTAGAGGTGAGGTTTCACTATGTTGGCCAGGCTGGTCTCAAACTCCTGATCTCAGGTGATCCACCTGCCTTGGCCTTCCAAAGTGCTAGGATTACAGGCGTGAGCCACCGTGCCGCACTGGACGCTGAGAAGTTTCTTCACTGCGGTGAGCAGTAAATAGGCTTAAAAAGGCATCCTCAAAAATATGAATATTTGTAATCGAATTATGTGTATGTACATTATGTGATGAAGTCTCCGTTAAAAATTCCTAAACTACCAAATGCGAAGAGCTTCCAGGTTGGTGAACACATCCCTGTGCTGGGATGCACACATCCCAGGGGCACCGCAACTCCACAGCAACGGAAGCTCCTGAACATGAGACTCTTCCAGACCTCACACCATGTATCTCTTCACCTGACTGCTCATCTGTATCCTTTCCCATTTCCTTCATAAAACTAGTAAGCATTAGCAAATATTGTGTTTTGTGAGTCCTTTCAATAAATTATTGAACTTTGATGGGGGAAAGGTTGTGGGAATTCTTGGCTTTGTAGCCAAGTTGGACAGAAGTGTGGATACCCTAGGAGTTCATTATTTGCTACTCGGGTCTGAAGGGCCTTGTAGGACCGAGCCCTTAAGCCGATAGTTAATGTCAGAATTGAATTATATTATAGAATATCAAATTGACAACCAGAGAGTTGGGAAATGGGTTACTGCAGGGGGGAAAATCCCTATATATTGGGTGTGAGAGGTGTTGTGAATAGAGAAACAGTTTTCCTTTCATTATATTGCCCCCTACTACTAGAATGAGTGCTTCTAGAACACATTCTATGTGGAAGAATAGAAATAAAACATCCAGAACATGTTGGAAAAACGGGAGTCAGCATGTGACAAGGAGAGGGAAAGAGGTTCTGTGAGAGAAATAGCCCACAAGCAATTATTTCTCATGTTCCAAATGACATCTGAAACTCTTGCAAGATAATCTATTAGGACCGAAAGTGTGTCACTATGCAACAAAGCAGCAGTAACACATAGCACAGGGAATATCCTCTCACAAGCAAAATGCAAAATAAGCTGGCAGCAATATATAAGCTGGTAAGAATATATATTTGATAAGGATCATAGAAGCTACAGCAACTTGAATACATTTTTTCAATCACTTACAGATATTTTAAGGGGCCACATCCTATAGAATCCCAGCTTTTCAGTTATAGTAATCAAAGGAGCAAAATATTAACGAGTGCCTACCTTATATCTGCAGAATGATGGGCCAGGCACCATGGAGGAAGAAGAACCAAACAATCTGCTTTGCAGGAGTTTATTATCTAAAGAAAAATTTAGAAAAGTGAGAATGTTTAAAAAATATAAGAGCACACTTAATGGTAAGCAACATACCAACACACAGCACTGTGTTGTGACATACAAAAGCATTTGATTGAATGAAGGATTGATTGAACTGATTCTTGGTCATTAGCTCACTCTCTCCTCTTCCCACATGAACCCTTGGATACTGATTCATTGTGGTTTACTTAATTTTTAAAATGTAGAGTATGTAAGATTACTCACGCTTTTCCATTCATCATACTTTCATCATCAATATGTTAACAACTCTTTTATCTCATTTTATCTTTATTTTAGTATATTGCCCCTTTTATAGTTCTCCCTCCTTTTCACCCTTCCAACCTTCCATCTAAGTGGTTATTTAACTACATTGGTTCCTTGAAAATTAGAGTGTATTTTATATGTGCTTTTAATTTGCATAAATGATAGCGGTAGTATCTTGTTTCTTGCTATTTTCATTCTTGCTAGTGTTTTTGAGATTAGATGATTCCATGCTGTCAAATGTAAATCTAGCTCATTGTTGCCAATGGTTCGTAGTATGCCAACATTCTGACATATACATACACCTCCTTTTACTTGGTCATTCCATCAGGTTTCCTGCTATCATAAGCAACGCTGCTGTGAAAATCCTCCACAAAGTCCTATGATTTTTCATGAGCTGAGTTGTAGCATCAAGCTATGCTTATTTTATTAGGTAATTTCAGCTTCTCTCCAGCATCACTGTAGTATTTTAGATTCCCACTAGCTGTGTGTATGGATCCCCCTTCCTTTTGACATATTTTCCTGCCTTCTAACTTCTGCTAATTTGGTGATTATAAAGTAATATTTTATAGTTTTAATTTTAATTTTTATTTATGTACATAGCAGTGAGTTTGAGAATCAGTTTACGTATGTATTACCATTCACATGAATTTCCATTCAACTACTGTACTCATTTTTATAAATTTTCAGTCCTTTTATTTGGTGAATAGCATGTGTTTTTTAATGTATTTTAAATATTAAACAGTTCTCACTCTTGTAAATTCCATGTTAAAGCTTCCTATAATATGTTTTATTGGATATAAAACTCTTCTTTTGATTCAGTCAAATTCCCTAATTAAGTTTCTGTTTATTTTTGTTATTTTGTTTCTTTATTGTTATTTTTATGCCTGTGCTTTTATGGATTTTTTTAAAAAAGATATCCTTTTCTAGCTCAAAATAGAATATGCCATTCTCCTACATTCCTTTTCTCCTCTTCCTCTTCTTTTTTTAATACCCAGATTTGTCAAATGTTTGTTTTGCCAAGAAAGGCAATTAAAAATTCAACTTCATCACTGACTGTCATCATTATATAAAATAAATGAATATTTTAACACCATATTACATGGAGAAAATTTCATAATAATGATAGTCACTTAGAGGTGAATAAATTTTATACTTCAAAAAACTTTCCATATCTGATATTTTTCTTCTCAGTTCACACACACTAGTTTATGAACCAATAATTGGGACCCACTGAATTAGGACATTCTCCACCTTAGAGCAGAGATGTGGGTGAAGGGACCTTGCCTAAGAATGAATGGAAGCCAAACAACTTTGATCAAGTGGATGTCTGGTGCTCTGCCAGGGGTTGGCTCAAAGTAATCTCCAGGTAGCTACTGATGTGCTTTCTGACACTACAAATTAGATCTGTCTCTTCTTGGGTTATATACACATGGAATCATAGTCTCTTTACTCTGTGGTGTCTGGGCTTTTCTGCACAGAATATTTTTGAGAGTCATCTATGTTTTTAGTGTATCAGTAATTTATTGTTTTTATTGTTGAGTAGTATACCACTGAATGAATATACCATACGGAATTTATCCATTCACCTGTTGATGAACATTTGGGCTGCTTCCACTTTTTGGGCCATTATACACAAGGCTACTGTGAGCAGTTTATACAAGTCTTTGTATAGACTTAGGTTTTCATTTCTCTTGGGTAAATAGAAGTTGACTTTCTGTGTTATATCAAAGGGTATGTCTTACCTTTTCTTGTACCTTCTTTGTTGAGTGACACTGAATATTTATAGTTCTTGTTATTTGGGGAAATATTTTGCTAACCATTATTTTTCACTGTTATTTGGTGATTTTGATTTTGTAAGTTGATTTTGTACCAGCAAATGGACAGACTATTTCATTAGTTATAATAATTTATTAGCAAGTTTGCTTTTGTGTTATGCCTAGGAGTTACAGACATAGACTATTAGTACCACGTGGTGCAGATATAATTGAGGGAAAACTCACAATCTTGTGAACTACCATTATTCCCTAGCTTAGGCAGTGCAAATTTGGATTGCATGGGCCATGACCAGTGTTCCAATAGAAAAAGACCTTGCTCCCTGCAACACTCTACACATTGATAGAGACAAAGGACAAGGAACTATTATCACTACATTTAAAAGGAAGCTCTGATAGAGGCAGTCATGTTTTTAGAAAGGGGGCCTCTGAAAATCAGCAACTGGATCTGCATTGAGTCTCTTCCTGCATTGAGCTGGCTCGGACCTGCTCAGTCAGCTCTCAAAAGGTCAGCTATGCAAACTGCCTCCACAGAGAAAAAAAACACATATGCAGATGCACCCAGATGTGTACTCCCCAGTTTGCTATGAAGCTAACCTGGAAATAACAGTAATTTTAATTCTTTCTCTCTGTTCTTTCATACCTACTACTTGTTTTTCTTGTCTTATGTTTGCCAGTTCCAAACATATATGCAACATAGCAGTGCTATCATATACACACATTATTTCTAAACTTAACAAAAATGCATATAAATATACCATATTATATATTTATTCTACCTTTTTTGGTAATATTTTTTGATATCAGGCTAAGAAAGTTTCCTACCAACCCTACCTCACTAAGAATGTCTTCTGGTATATTTACTGAAATAATTATGAGATTCTATTTCCAAAGGGCCATGAACTATCTTGTACATGTGTCAAAATATTCTTTGTTTCCTGGTACAAACTCTATTTGATCATGATATACTTTAAATAAGCAATTAAATATATATAAAAGAAGTAAAGAGAAATAAAGTCTTAGATTTGTTAAGCTCAACACTTTTAAAGGATTCTCACATTTTTGTTTACATGTGAAGTCAGCCTATATTTTTGTATACTTGAACTACCATTTTCTGGTTTAAAGACCAGGGTTAGTGAAGGATTAAGTAAAATATAACCATTGTCTCATTGCTGTTTTAAAACAAGTAGACAGATACAAAAAAAAAAAAAAAAAAAAAAAATCTACCTAAAAAGGCTTCTCTGAGAAATAGAACCAAATTAGAAGACAGTGAAGAACAGGTTAGCTTAACATGTCAACTCTTATTACAAGAAAAAAAGGAGAGAAAATCTAGCTTTTATATAAGCTCAATTTAAATAACAATAGTTATAGTAATAATACAATCCTTCTACACTCTTGGAAGAAAACCAACTGTTGTAAAACATATATCAAAGAAAGGACTGCACAGGCACAAAGATAGCCTAGGCTCCCTAACTTATTCCCATATTACAGTGACCTGATAATAGAAAAACTTGGAAGTATTGGCCTAATATTTTCCGAAGGTCGTTGTAGCATCCCAAAGTAGGTTATTAGAGAAAAACTTGATAGAATGAAAAGAGAGAATAATGTAAACATGTTTCTTCTAAATTTTATATAAAAATTTAAATATTAACCTACATATTTTAAGACATCTTAAGTATTATACTATATGATAATTGATCCCTCCACTGACTCTAATCAGAGTCAGTGAAGGATACAAACCAGGTAATTGTATAGTGTTGCCTTAGCTGTTCCACCAACTAATTGGCCTCCTTGCTTGGAAAAGAAAAAAGAGTCTGTGAAGTGAGTGGTGATGGAAGAAATCCAGACAACCTGAAGCTCAGGCTGTTCTTTCTGCTTTTTTTAAAACCCAGGAGGGTTGGCCCTACCTAGAGGCAGCAGGAGAAGAAGTCAAAACTTATACCAGTTTCACCGAGAGCTGTCCAGTTTTCCTTTTCTACTTCGTGTTTTGGATTAACTTATTTGTGATAAGAAGTTTCTGTGCCTTGAAAATTTCACAGTACTCCCTTTTCAACTGCTGATCCATTGCCTTTCTGTGGGAAAAAAGAGAAATGAGGAAGCAGGTTTTTAGCTAACATTTTAATTTTCTCTAGTAGTTATTAGAATATTCAAGTAATGTCATTATTCTCATGCAAAATTTGTGCTTTCATAAATAAATCCTTCAAGATTTTCAAGTTGAGAGAAAGTTAGTGATTATAGCCTCATGGTTCTTGTTCTTTATTATAACTGTGCTAAATCCTCTATCTATATGCATTTTGTAGTATTTACATCTTCTGTCTTTACTCTTGATCAGGTTTACTAGAAGTTGTGTGTCTTATTTTACTCAAATAACTGAGTTTTGTTTTATTTAGCCTCTCTACTGGATTTTTGTTATTCTTTGTTTTTAAAATTTGTACCTATGTAATCATTATTTCTGTCCTTATACGTTTGGCTCTGATTAATTTTTTTCTAGCTTCGTGATTTGAATATTAATCCCATTTATTTTTTCTTCTGCTTGTTTTGTGATGTATTTAAATCTATACATGTCTCTTTAAGTAAAACCAGACATTTATCCTGCAAATATTGGCCTATAGTCAAATAGTATGTGCATTAGCTCTAAGAATTCCATAATTTCTCTTATGATTTTTAAATAAAAGCCATTTAGCAAAATGTTACTTAGTATTCAGCCATATGGGATGGTTTTAGCTTTTCCTTGGACTTATTTCTAATTGTATTGCATTTTAATGTGAGTCTATATGGTATTAAATAATTTGATTATACTGAGGCCTTTCTCTGTGACCAGTATCCGGTCCATTTGCGTAACTGTTCTTTGTCCGTAAAAAGAATTTCTATCTTCTGTTTGAGTCTACAAACTTCTATGTATCTATTCATTTAAGCTCAATAATTATGTATATTTTTAATCTGCTTGATTTAACAGTTTCTGAGGTTTGTGTGTTAAATTCCCCTGTTAGAATTGTTGATTTATCTATTTTTCTCCATAGAGTCACAGGTTATTGTTCTGAATACATAGTACTAGGTATGTAAATGTTCATGATTATTATGCCTATTATTCCTATTACAAGTGCCCTCATTGTCCTTTATGATTCCTTTTGGCCTTAAATTCAATATTAAAACCATTAATCTGACTGTTGGAGGGAGAAGGTTGCATTTACCTACTATATCTTAAGCTATTTTTTTCATTATTACTCTACTTATATTCCTTTGTTTTAGATATCACTTTTAGATAAATATTGCTGTTTTTAATCATACTTAGAAATATCTCTTAATCTTTGAGATAATCTTGAGTTAATAAACATTTATTATAACACTAATAGCCAGACACGTATTTCTGCATTTTATTTTATATTTACTACTTACTCTCTATTTTTTTTTCATTTCAACTTGCCTCTGATCTTTTCCTTCTCCCTCCCACCATTCATCTCTGTCAGGTTAGTACCATTCCGTAATTTTATCTGTGGATTATTCTTTATTTATTTGTGTTGTAGTCATTTTTTATTTAGAAAATAAACCTTACCAAATTATATGTTCCCACCTTCTGTGTTCATCTTTTTTCTTACTGGATTACTCTATTAGTTTGAAATGGTCTGGGTGGAGATATCATAAAGCCAATTGATAATGACTTACTTTTTTTTTTTTTTCTCATCTAAAAAGATGCTTTGCGTTTAAGGGGCTACTGGCAACAACTCATCAGTTTAACAATATCAGGGTCAACATTTCTGCTATTCTCTTTTTGCTTCCTCTTCTTTGCAAAGTGGCTCCCATACCTCTTGACATCACTTCCGTGTTCAATTCTTCCCCTTTTACCAGTTGAAACTTTTTGGGAAGCCCCACAGCAGGCATATGCTTATATCTCATTAGCCAGGACTCCCTTGTATGTCCTCCTCTAGGTAAAAGAGAAGTGAGTAAAATGAGTATTTGCTTAGCCAAATTCTATAATATATATAATTTAACGTTAACAAGAAGGAAGAAAGAGATATGTTTAGCCAACCAAAATGTCTTCCACAGGTACTTCCTCCAATGTCTAACTACAATGTGCCTACATTTGGGATTGCTTGGTGGCTCTTAATGAACACTTTCAAGAACCTCTTAAACCTTTCTGTGATTCACGGAAGTGTTGAGGCATTATTTCTCTCCTTTCATCTACTTTTTCTTCATCTGTGCCTTTTTAAGGCAGATACTGACACATTAATTTCACTCTCTGTATCTTTTAACTGTTCTCAGTTTTCCAAATCCTTATTTCTTACCCTTGTCTTCCAGGAGAGTCCCCTGACAAGATAATCCCACTTGCTGCAGCACATTTCAGCTGTATTAATTCTGTGATTCAGTTCATCCACTGACTGATGGTGATAATTATGGGTTTTACACCCATTATCTTCTAAGGGTTCTTCTTCATGAATTCTTGTTACTGTTTCTTTTTACCATTAGCCTCAGTTATCTCTCTGAGAATATCTTGGGTTTTCTTGTTGTTGTTGTTTTTACTTTATCTCTTTAAAGCAGTTTTAGGTTCCTAAGAAATTAAGAGGAAGGTTCAGAGACTTCCCATGTGCTCCTTCCCCCGACACACACATCATTCCTCACCAGAGTGGTATATGTGTTAAAATTGATGACTTGCATTGATAAATTATTATCAACTAGGGTTCAGAGTTTACATGAGAGTCCACTCTTGATGTAGATTCTGTGGGTCTGGACAAATACATACTGATGTGTATTCCTCAATGTAGTATCATACACAGTAATTTCATTGCCCTAAAATTCTTCTGTGTGTTACCTATTCAACCCTCCCTCCAGTCCCTGGCAACCAATGATCTTTTTACCGTTTCCACAGTTTCACCTTTTTCAGAAGTTTTACCTGTTCCATACAGTGGAATAATGCAGTATGTAGCCTTTTCTCATTGGTTCCCTCCACTCAACATTTAATGGTTTCCTTATGTCTTTTTATGACTTTATGGCTCCTTTTCTTTGGTGGTGAATATATTCCATTGTCTGGACGTGCCACAGTTTGTTTATCTATTAACTTACTGAAGGACAACTTGTTGCTTCCAAGTTTTGGCAATTATAAATAATAAAGCTGCTATAAACATCCACATGAAAGTTTTTGTGTGAACATACTTTCAAGTCATTTGGATAAATACCAAGAAGAGTGAATGATAGATTGTACAAGAAGAGTAGTTTAGCTTTATAAGAAACCGTCAGAATTTATCTCAAAGTGAGTATACCATTTTGTATTCCCACCAGGAATAAATGAGATTTTCTGTTGTTCCACATCCTTGCCAGCATCTGGTGTTGCCAGTGTTCTGGATTTTTGCCATTCTAATAGATATGTAGTGGTATCTCATTGTTGTTTCTATTTGCATTTCCCTGATGGCATATGATGTGAAGCATCTTTTCTATGCTTATTGACATCTGATATCTTCTTTGGTGAGGTATCTGTTAAGGTCTTTTGACCATTTTTTAATTAACAAATGTGACTGTACTGCCTCTAATCCTGATTTCTGTACTCTCAACTGGTGATGTTGGTTTCTTTTCTCATCCTAGTTCCTTTATCTATACAAATAGTATGCTACCTCTTTTTTAATATTGTAAAACTGAAAGATAGTATGTGCATAAGCATCTGCTATGTAGAAGGAAATTGATACTAGTTTCCCCTTCTTCCATCCAATCAAAATCCTGCCCCAATCAAATATTATTTCTTCACTGAAGCCTTTTTCTATTAATGGAATCTTTACTCTCTTCTTCTAATTAAGAAATCTTAGATATTTTGGAACTCATTTTTATCAAATAAAAATATGCTACAACTTTAAATCATCTTAGAAATCTGTTAGGCTTCACTTATTTTAGTAACATGCATGATCACTGACTAGGTCAAAAGCAGAGTAGAAATAGAACCCAAATATTAACTCAGTCCACTACACTATGCATAATTCAATAATAAATTGCATTCTTTCTTTTGAAAAGACTGCTGCTTAATGTCATTTGTGTTGCCTCCACAACCAAGCTATAAATTCATCAGGATGGGGTATCCGTGGCCGGAGGCCTCTCAGGACAGATCAGACATTTTGTAATGATGCCTGAAATAAACACTCACCACCTCGATGAGCCACAGGTTCAACTCCTGGCAGAGATGTGTATCCTTATTGATGAGAATGACAATAAAATTGGGGCTGAGACCAAGAAGAATTGTCACCTGAATGAGAACATCGAGAAAGGATTATTGCATCGCGCTTTTAGTGTCTTCTTCTTCAACACTGAAAATAAACTTCTGTTACAGCAAAGGTCAGATGCTAAGATTACCTTTCCAGGTTGTTTTACTAATACTTGTTGTAGTCATCCATTAAGTAACCCAGGTGAGCTTGAGGAAGATGACGCCCTTGGAGTGAAGCGAGCAGCACAGAGGCGGCTGAAAGCTGAGCTAGGAATTCCCTTGGAAGAGGTTCCTTCAGAAGAACTTAATTATTTAACACGAATTCACTACAAAGCTCAGTCGGATGGTATCTGAGGTGAACGTGAAATGGATTACATTTTGTTTATGAGGAAGAATGTAACTCTGAATCCAGATTCCAATGAGATTAAAAGCTATTGTCACGTGTCAAAGGAAGAAATAAAAGAACTTCTGAAAAAAAGCAGCCAATGGTGAAATTAAGATAATGTCATGGTTTCAAATTATTGCAGAGGCTTTTCTCTTTAAATGGTGGGATAAATTAAATCATTCGAATCAGTTTGTTGACCATGAGGAAATATACAGAATGTGAATACATAGGTGAAGGATTACTGAAAAATTTCTCTACTTAACAAACTTAGAATGACTTTTTTCATTTAAATTTAGTTCTCTATCATCAATGTATTATATACACTGATACTTTACAACTTGTGTGTAAAAAAATAACTTATAACTTTGTATAACACCCCCTGTATATGTGTTCTGTTTCCAAACGACATTTGTGAGAGATTATTGTAAAATAAGAGAGAGCAAATAAAAATGTAACCTGTGCAACACATGCTTATGGAAAATTTGAACAAATGAGTGAAGCC